TATAATATAGCTAATATTTTAAAATATAACTTTATTTTAAAAATACTTTAGTTATATAAATATAAACTTAATATAAAATAAAGAATAGGCTAAATCTATTAGTATAATAATAGAAATACTTTAAATAAAATTAATATAAAAATATTAAAAAAGAAACTAGATTGCTAGAAGCCTAAGGTTTTCCTTAGCCCTTTAAATATTTTTCTTTAGTATTATTGTAACGACCTGGTTACTAAGGTCCTATAAGAGTTAGTGGCTTGGAAGATTTCCAAGGGATAAACCTAGTCTTATGGTTTATATTAGCGGATAGGTTAGGAGATCTATAGGTAATAATAATAATATAATATTACCAGTGGGTAAGCTTTAGAAGTATACTTTAATTTTAATTTTATGTTAATAACTGGCTATTTAAATTATTTAAATAAGCATAGTAAAGTAAACTTATATATTTAATTATATAAGCTAGAATTATAATATCTTATAGGACTTATTAATAAATTCCATTAAATTAACTTATTAACTTAATAATTAAGTTAATAAGTTTTTTTTAATTAGTCTATTGTTTTAATATTAATCTAGTTTAGCCTACCCTATAGGCCTATTATTATAACTATAAGAGTTAGGTTGTAATATAATACTTCCCTTTTTTAATCTTGTCCCTAAGACCTTATAGTCCTAGTATAAATAATGCATCCCCTACTTAGTAAATGCAGTTATTCTTTAGTTTCTTTACTAATGCTTCTTCCTGGTTTTTACTAACTTTTATTATACTAAATAAAATTACTAAAAGATTTCTTTATAAAAGAACCTATTAATATAATTCTTTATTAAAAGCTATAATATCTAGCGCAGGCAAGTTTAATAAATATTATTTTTATTATATTATAAAAAATCGCAAATTTTATTTAATTTCTTTATTAAATTTATTATATTATTTAAAATATATTTATTTAAATAAATCTTATTATAATATTTAAGGTTTAATGCTTAATTAGCTTAATTGCATTTTTACTTAGTATTTCTATTTAAAAAAGAAATTAAAAGAGGCTAAGGATATTTTAACTAAGGCAGCTGCAAAAGTAGCTTGTTTTTAAAAATAAAAGCAGGTGTAGTTGTAACAAACCGTACACTAGATAGTTAGTATAGGGTAGATTCCCAAGGGACAAACCTAGAATAAGTTCTTTAGGTTTATATTGGCGGATAGGTTAAGAAACTTGTAGGCAATGATATTACAATAATAGTCACCAGTAGAGATTAAAAGTGCTTTCCAATCTATAGTATAAAACTATATTAACAACTGGCTATCTAAGTTATTTAAATAAGCATAAGAAGTAAACTTATATATTTAGTTAATCTAGATGGGATTAAAAGGATAACTATTAATCCTTCTGGGGATTGATATAACACTTATTGATCTTAAGCTAGATCGATGAACGAGTTCTCGATCCATTTCTGATTGGTTCATTGGATTATAGTTAATCCGGCTGCGCCTACCCTGTAGGCCTATTGTTGCAACCATAAGAGTTAGGTTATAATACAATACTCCCCTCCTGTTGGTCTTGTCCCCAAGACCTTGCTTGATCAGGTATAAGTATCTACCTTCTTCCTCTTGTTATATTAGTTTTCCTTCTTTAATAATTCTTGGTTTTTTAATTAACGATTATAATAGGTGTTTGCAAGAAATTTTATTTAAAGACAGAGCATTAAAACATTCTCCTTAAGATTATTTTATCTTATTCTATTAAAATAAAGGACTGTATTTATTATTTAAATAAAAAAAAACACTACTTTTTAAAGTGTTAAATATCTAAAGAAGATTCTACTTAATGTACTAAATGTATAAAGGATAATAAGTTTTTATGCAATGCTTATCCTTTATCTCCTGCGCAGATGTAAAAGATTGCTTTTTTTTATGCTTAGCTTAAGGATGCCTTAGAAGAGGCTGAGGAGCGGCGCAAGATTGTTAATGCTGAAATTAAATGTCTTTAAAAATAGAAATAATTATAGCTAGAAAAGATAATGTATGCTGTTGTATAAGGAATTGATGATTTGGAGGAATTGGAAAAGGTAGAATATAAGGAGGCAGAGGCAGCTGGTTGTTAAGCCTTAACATTAGAGCCTAACTCCGCTGCTGGCCCGTCCTTTGCCGTTAATGATATTAATTAATCTGCGTTTAACCTGGACCTATTGTTATTTCTATCCCTAGAGACTAATGGTATCCCTGCAGGATTGCCTGGGCGTTCCTCTTAAGTTTTTTTTTAAAAACCCATAAGTCTTTGGATAAGTTATACCCTTTTTATCTTATAAGGTATTTTTATTTACCTGTTTCTTTGTTTATTTATATGCAAGTTATTTTATTAATTTTATATTCTTCTTCTTTATCCTAGACAATGATTTTATCTATAATTGGCTTGCCTGTTTCTTTATCTACTAGTGCCTTTTTTAGTAGTAAGATATAGAAAACGGCTGTTTTTAACTTTATGTTATTGGGTAGGTTTAACTTGTAGTTAACTTCTTTAATTTTCTTTAAAATTTTAAATAGTTTAAGTTTTCTAAAGTTTAGTTTATTATTTGGTTGATTTATTTTAATGTTTGGCAGCTTTTTATTGCGTAAATGCTATAGTAGGTAGGCTATATCCCTTTCCTAAAGGGTTGGTTCTTTAATCTTTATATAGTTGGCTTGTTACTTTATATAATCTTAGATAAACTTAAGTTATTCCTTGAGTTCTTTCTATAGTTAAATTATATCTTTAGCTAAAATTTAAGCATTTTCTGCATTTAAATTATTATAAGGTGGTCTATAGGCTTCTGGTGTAAATCTATAGTTAGCGTAAAATAGGGTAACTTCTATAGATTTTAAAATAGAACTATTATATTAATTTTATACTGCAGGGAGTTTTTCTATTTAATTATCTTATATAAGGTTAATATAGCATTGTAAGTATGCCTTAATAACTTAATTTATTCTTTTTATTTAGCTATCTATTTATAGATAATATACAGTGCTTAGCTTATAATAAGTTTTAAATTTAGCTATAAGTTCTTGCTAAAACTTAAAAGCAAAGGTATTTCCTCTGTTTAATATAATTTCCGCTAGTAATTTATATTCTGCAAAGATATATTGTATATAAAGGTATATTAAATTTTTTATAGTATAGGATTTTTTATATAGTAAGAAGTAGGCTTACTTAAAGAGCTTGTTTACTACTATAAAGATGCTATTATAAACTGTATTAATTAATGATTTCTTTAACCCTAGTAAATTAGTAATATAGTTAAATATAATAGTGTACTAATTTTATTTAAGAACTGGGATAGGTTGTAATTTCCTATATAGCCGATGTTATTTATCCTTTATTTTTTTATATATATTATATTTTTTAATAACTTCTTTAACTTTTTATTTAAGTCCTTTAAAATAGTAGTAGTATAATATATAGTTATAGGTAGTTTATATACCTTAATGTACTGCTGTAATTATACTATAATAAATGTCTTAAATTGCTTTTAATTACAGTTCCTCTAGTACTTAAATTTATTTGCCCTATCTTAGGAGTCCATTAATTATAGTTACTTCCTTAAGGAACTGTTTTAGTTGCTAATCTTTAATTTAATCTTTAATTTTATTAAGGATAAGATTATATTTTTCTATAATAAATAAAGTATTAATTTTAATTTATTTATAATTCCTTTAATTATTTTTATATAGGATTTATACTTTAAATTCAGGAATTTCTTTAAAATGTTCTTCTTTTTAACTTAAAGCATCAGCTCTTCTATTTTTTATTCCTTTACAGTAAATAATCTTATAGTTAAAGTCTATTAGGAATTTAAAATAATGAGTTTATTATATAGAGAGTTACTGTATAGTTATAAAGTAAGATATATTCCAGTGGTTGGTGTAGACCTTAATCTTATGTTTATTTCCTAGGCAATAGTGTTGCTATTCTTTAAATGCTTTAATAATTACTAAGAATTCTTTATTGTAGATGGGATATTTTAGCTTTAGACTATATAGTTTTCTAAAGAAGAAAGCTATTAGTTTAAGTCTTTTATTTTTATTTTATTATCCTAAGGTTCTTCTTAAAGTAAAGTTAAAAACATCTGTTTTAATTTCAATAGGCTTATTTAGGTTATATATAGTAAGTATAGGTTTACTTATAATAGCATCCTTAAGTTCTTAAAATATTAATTTTATTTCATTAATCTAGGATAGTTTTCTGTCTTTTTATTTCTTTTTACCCTTCTTATCTTCCTTAAGTTAAATGGCGTTAGTTAATGGTTTTACAATTTTACTATATCCTTAGATAAATCTTTAATAATAATTAGCAAGTCTTAAGAAACTTTATAATCCCTTATAAGTTTTTAGGAGTTTTTAATCTTAAATAGCAGTAATTTTATCTAAATTTATTTAAACTTCTTCTAGTGTAATAATATATCTAAGGAACTTAACTTATTATATATAAAATTAGCATTTATCTAGGTTAATAAAGAGCTTAATGTCTTATAGTTTCTATAATACCTTATGGATGTATTCTTTATGTTTTTTTAATGTCTTTAAGAAGATTAAAATATTGTTAATATAAGCTATTATAAAGTTATTTAAGTATTCTTTAAGAATAAAGTTAATTCTCTTCTAGAATAATGCTGGTGTATTTATAAGTCCTTGTAGTATAACCAAGTATTTAAATAGTCTATATTTTATTTTAAAGGCAGTTATTTATTTATATCCTTCTTTTATTCTTATAAGTTTATAGGCTTTTGTAAGATCCAGGGCTGTAAACCAGTTTATGTCTTATAATCTTTCTTTAATTTTAGTAATTAATAATAAAGGCATTCTATCTTTAACTATTATTTTATTAAGCTGTTAATAGTTAATAATTAAATAAAGCTTTTTATTTTTCTTTAGTATAAAGATAATGGGGTACTTTACTGGAGAGTTTAACACCCTAATGTATTCTTTATTTAATTATATTTATAGCTATTCTTTAAGTATTTTAAGCTTTATTTTATTAAGATTGTAGATCTTATAGAGCTTTAGTAAAGTTCCATCTTTAAAAATAATCTTATAGTCCTATTTTAAGTAAAGTAGTAGTCTTTCTTTAAGTACTTATTAATATAATTTCTTATACTTCTAATATTATTATAGTATTTTAGCTAAAGGCTTATCTTTATTAGCTTTAGCTTATTCTTTTGCTTTTGCTAGTATTATATTAAGTTTAGCTAGTTCTATGCAATATTTAGCAATAATTCTATTAATTTATATGATTTTTACTTTCTGTCGTCAATTGTCATATTATAATAGTACCGGTGATTTTTTAAAGTTAAACCTAACTTTCTTATATATTTTCATTTTCTTAGCCTTATCTTTTTTATTTTATTTATTTTTCTTTAATTATGCAGGAGGTTTTAGTTGTAGGTCTATAAGCGTGTCTTTACTTTCCTTGCCCCCTTCCTGGCCTAGTTATAACTTCAGAGAGATGTCTTCTTCTTAAGTTATCTTTTTTATTTTTCAGTTAATTATAGGGTTATATTTTTCTAACTATAGGTGTCTTAGCAGAATATTACAGTCTTATAGGTCCAGTATATCAAACTTAATATCCTCAGTTTGGTTGGCAACTGTTATAGGGAGATAATTAATCTTATAGGTAATAGTTATTCCTGTATTTATGCTTGCAATACTAAAAACAACTAATAGTATCTTCTTAACGATATATAGTATTCCTAGCCAGTCTACCAGGCTATCAGCAATTAAGTTACAATCTAAACCGCTATCTACATAGATCTTAATTAGTTGCTGGTTTAAATATCCATTAATTATCAGTTTTTTTTTTAATGTTTTAATTAAGTTAATGGTAATTATATTTAAAGAGCTTTTTTGCTATATCTTAGATTAATATTTTTTACACTATTGGCATTTAATTTAATTATTTTATTTTTTAATTATTTAATAATATTTCTTAATTAAGGTTTTATTTTCTTATCCTTTATTTAAGTAGTTATTAAAGTTATAGTTTCTTTATAAGAGTTTTTAAATTATTTAGTAAAACTAGTATTTCTCCTTGCAATGTCTTCTGCAGTATTATATATTGCAGTCTAGAAAGTGGTCTATTAAGCAATCTTATACTTTAACTCTCTTTAGTCATTTACTCTGCTAGTCTGTTAATTTATTAAGCATATGCCTTTAGCAGTATATATTATTATATTCCTTTTAGTAATGTTTTCTATAATTTTTATTAAGAGCATTAAAGATGTTGTAAATTAAGATGTAGGTGTAGGTGTCTTTAAGGTCTAGTTTAATAGCCTTTATTTATTTTTATGCTTATTCTAAACTTATCTTCTATAGTGGATGTTTTTTAAGATACTGTTGTCTTTCTTCTTGTTTTTCTTCTTCTTCTGCCTGTGCTCCTAAGATATATATACAGTTGTATTCTTTATCTAATAATTTATAGATATTACATCCTTTATAGTTATAATCGAGGTCTTAAGAGTAATAGAGGTTACATTAATATATATAAAATAGGACTGATTTATTTAACCTTTATGGTTTTTTGCAGTAGTGGTTTATATTCTATAAATGGCATTATAGGCATTTATATATTTTTCTATTAAACTTTAGGCAGGTTTTATTATATTATAGTTTCTGAGAGCTGCATTAATAACATTTATTGTCATTAGTGTTATTACTATTATATATATTTTTAAAGGTAACTTTATATTTTGCAAAGGGGTGTATATCTAGAAGGGTGTTAATCTACTGTTAGTATTTTTTATTAATTTTACAGAAGCTATACTTATAGATTCTTCTAGTTTTATTATAGATAATTTTATCTTTGCTAGTTTCTTTATCCAGGAGTTTTTATTTTTATTCTTTAAGGTACTCTTTAGCTAATTTATCTTCTTCTTTAAAGAGTTTGCACATAGCTTTTATATTTTATTGCCATTTGCCTTTATAACTATATTAATATCCTTCCATGGATCTGCAGTCAGGGTATCTTTAGCATTTATAGTTAAGGTTTTATAAGTAGTAAGTATTGCAGTTATAGTTTTCCTTCTACATTACTGCTTGTTTTTTATTATACTTATAAGTAGTGTTAGTGGATCTGCAGTGTTTATAGATTAATTTTATGCTGAAATTTAAGTTTCTATTGTTAAGTGGTTTATAAGAGGTTAAAGTGTTAATTTTAACTTCCTTTTAAGATTTTGTTTTTCTTAGCTTCTTTAGGTAGTGTTTTAATCTATCCTTATTACTTCTGTATATAAGGCATGCGTTATTATAACAGGCAGTCTAACTAAGGCTGTTGTAAGGTAGTTCAGTGATAGTGTCTATTTAAACTTTATCGGCCTTATTGTTTCATTCAGGGTTTTTCCTATTTCCTTCCTGCTTTTTCTTAAAATAGCAGTATGCTTTTTTATGGCCTAGTTTACTATAAAAATGGCATTTTCCTTTAAACTTAATTGCCTTAATGGTATTAAGGTCTATTCGTTCTAGTTGGGTTTTATTGTCTTTTATAATATATTCTTCTTGCTTTTTGCCTTAGTTTACATAATGTTAAGATTTCTATTAAAAGGTTAATTAATAGCTATATTTCT